TTGTTATAGATTCAGGTACTCAGAACAAGCTCCAAGTAGCACGGGCTATGGTGAGCCCGTAGTGGACTTACCTGGCATAGGAGCGGTCAAGAGGTCACACCCGTGTAGACCCGGGTGCGATCCCCGGGCCGGGGGAGATGTTTGAGCGCGTTTTCTTACGCTCAATGCCTCTGTTCATATAAGAAAAAAGTACCGAACTTGAGAGTTAGTCAGCTGTTGTGAGTTGCATCCTGTGAAATGTCATTCTTTGGTTTCGGTTAGAGGGACCTCGATAACCGTAGTAGGCTTCGAGGTTCTAGAAGCTTGGAGCGAACATTATCCATATGTTCTATAGAAAATGGAGCCGAAGCGAGTCAGGAACTTCATACATAACTATACTCGGGCCCTGTACTGGCCGTGAATGTGCCTTGATCTCTCCATCTTGAGCCCCAAGCCCACACAAGCTTAACCAGAGTCAAGGTGTTGAAACAAAGCGAAAACACTGAAGAGAAGTCGAATCTTAAGTATGTCCAACCCTGGCTATCGTCAGACGTAAGGCTTACGGCTTACTCTCTGCCTGATCCTTACGGTTGCAATCTGCCGTATTTCTAACCATCAGATGTATATAAATCCCTAACAGAGTTAACGATTAAGGTCAGATATTCCTAGTATGTACGCCGAGGTATGGAGGGTTAGAGAGAGCACAGGTTGGCTGCCGACTGCGTACCGAGGCTGGGGAATGTGCGGGAACCTCATTTGACAAGATTCAGAGATTCAAATGCTCGAAATATTTTTCACTGCTCAAGACAGGGAGGCCGAATGGGCACTCTTGCAGGTGTGGCTGATGTGCAAGTACTGGTGACTGTGACATTTACTCATCAAAGACAAAGTAACACAGTTCAGCAATTTATGAAAAGGTGCCACGAAGCAGTGTATGATTAGGCGTTGCGCTACAGCCCGGGAAGGCTGCTAAGGCCACTACAATAGCTGCTGGATAACCAGTAAGTACACTCTACTCCTGAACTAGAAATATCTTGGTGTACATACACTGACAAAGGTGTACACCTGAGACGTCGCTTAGTTTATTGGCGTTATTCTTACCACCCTCTGGAGGGTTACTAAGCCACAACAATAGTTGTGGCTTAGTAACTGGTCTTAAGGCCTACCAACATCTGGAGGGTTATTCAAGCCACCTTAATTATTTAATGACCAACCAGCAAAAGTACTTTTGTCCTGAATATAGTCCAGGACTAAAGTAAACTCAAGTGTAAATACCCCGAGAGCCGTTTACACCTTTTGGCGTACACGTCCTTATACTGGAGATATATTCTATTTTACCGTGGACACAACACCCATGGCTTCAAGTCTTTCGAAACGACGACGTTTCATCCATCTTGAACTATTATCAATGTTGTTGTTTAAGATTCAGCTAGTGGGAACAAAAAGTTGCAAGTAGCACGGGCTATGGTGAGCACGTAGTGGACTTACCTGGCACAGGAGCGGGGCTGTAACTTGGGACCATTATCGTTTGTTGTTGTTAAAGATTTAGCTACTCAGGACGAAGTGTCCATGTAGCACGGGCTATGGTGAGCCCTGACCATTATCAAGTTGTGTAATTGTTATATTACCGTGGATAGTGAGCCTGGAGAGGTGGACAGGATGCACGCGCCTCAGCAGCGGGTGATGGTGTCGAGAACAGTGTGAGCTGCTTGGCTAGTCTATAGGACAGGTCCTGAGGATTATATAGTGAGGAACGGTGCAGGGCAAACACCCTTTGTGGGGTGTTCCCTGTTTTATAACACGTGTTCCTACAGCTGAGTATAAGACTATGAATACAAGACTGAGGTTCAAGTTCAAGTACGTTTATTGAGATAATAAAATACATCTGAAAAAATAGAGTAGCTTAGGCTATTAAAAAACTTAGGTTAAAATAGACTGAGAAACTTCCTCAGATATGGCTTTCGGTAGCACAGTGGTCTACGTCCTTGGTGCACAACCTAGAGACGTGGGACTCTGTCCCCTAGGGTTAACAGGAATGATTGGATACGTTGTCTTTCACGTGATGCTGCTGTCCATCTAGCAGTTAAATCGGTGCCCGTGAATTAAGATATTGTTGTGGGTCGCTTCGTGGGAAGGTCAGTAGATGGTCGCTCTAGAGGGGACCATGATAACCTTAATAAGCTGCGCATGACATACATAATCTAACATTATGTATGTAACTCAATGTATATACCTTTACCTGAATAAAAAAATCTAATCTAACTCTAATCTAATCATATACGACAGGAGTAACATGTCCCATCATGCGCTTGGCATATATATATAGAGCTCACATTTGCTTCCTCAAATGTGAGCTTTGGGTTACTTCCCAGTAACCATCTTCCATTTTGAAAAAAATCCTGAGTCCTCCTCACTTTCCTTCTGGGGCCTTAGTAAGAAAATGATGACCATTGCTTGCCAACATCACCATCTAGTGTGTGAACGTTCAGGGCAGCAATAGAGAAGACACTAAATGTTTAGCAACAGCAAATGAGTGATTACCATGTATATATTTGAGGCAAAATGTGTGCTATATGCAATTTTAAGGTTTAGGCTTATAATATATATATATATATATATATATATATATATATATATATATATATATATATATATATATATATATATATATATATATATATATATATATATATATATATATATATATATATATATATATATATATATATATATATATATATACATATATTATTATGCAAACAAGCCTGAGTGATCCCCAGGACTATATGCAACTGAAAACTCACACCCCAGAATAAGTATGTGAATATCTTATGTATATACTCGTATACATACTTATATTTTCAAAGCTATATATAATAGACAGTACCTTTGACACACACAAATACAACCTGTTAGCATGAAAAAACTAAATAAATAAAGTGAGAAACAATGAAAATATATCAACAAAGTTATTCCCATGCAGCACCTCAACTCATTTGACCTCAACTTCTCCAAGTCACTACAGCTAAACCACAAGAGATAGAGTCTTTTTAATTGGATTTTTGTGCTTCCTGAAAGCTAATTAACAGTCATAAGAAACATTAATTTTTAAGAACAATTCTTTTCTTGAGCACACTGAGGGATGTCAGTTAAGGACCCCATAGCAGCTTAAGGGTTAAGACAACGGGAATTACAGAACGGAACATTTGGTAAGGCAAAGTTGCTCTCTGAGGTATATATGGTATGGTTCTTCATAGTTGCTGTTTGAAGGTATATATGATATTATATCATTCTATACAGTTTCTATCAGAAGGTATATATTGTATGATTCTGTACTGTTTGATCGGTCAAACCACTCTAAATGTTCACCTCGCGGTTAAATAATAATTACAATTTGATAAACATATTTGCGTACACAAGTTCCAATATAAGCAGGCGAAGGAAACACTGCATCACCGAGAACGCTTAGCGAACCTCTTACCCAGCATGTACTAACTCACTAACAGATGAATAAAATAACTTTAAATTACGTTCATATGACTGAGATTTATACACTGAGAGGTGTACCCCGCTTCTGTGTGTATGTATACACTGAGAGGAGTACCCCGCTTATGTGTGTATGTATACACTGAGAGTTTTCTTTGCCTCAGTTTACGGGCTATTCATGCCCGTGCCACCTCTTGGGTGGCTTAATCTTCATCATTCAATCAGCCATCTTTGCCTCTCCCCTCTGCAATATGGTATCTTCAGGCCACCAAGTTAGAGAGGTTATATATCCCAAAAGGAATCCACAGGGAAATAGCAGTTCGGTTATATATACTTCGTCTAGGTTACGTATGCAACTGGGAAATTGGTGAACCCAGAGAGTGGGTATGCATCTTCATCAATCAATTATCTTTGCCTCTGGACAATGTCCACATTCAAAGTATACTCGATGGTTGATCAGTTAGCTATCGTGATGGCTTTAATAACCCTCCAGTGGTTGATAGGCCTTCAACTAGACACCAAGCTTTTAATTGACTAAATAAGACTGTCATCTACTTCAAAGATAAATAGAATTACGAGGCTATCAAAATATTTGGAAGGAATTTTTGTTTCTTTTAATCTAAGTTGAATAGAAATGTCGTTATCTGTATAGATAGTGGAATTGTCGCTTTTAAAGATAAAATATCGTTATCTATTTATTTGGACTTTGTATTGTCACTTGTTTAGAGAATGATGGAGACAAAGTGTGTCCAGGTGTGTTATTATGTCACATTACCAACGTCACACTGTTCCAGGTGTAATATAATGCCTTATCATCATCATCATCATGTCACTTCATGCCATCAGTACATTATATATCATTATACATTCAGCATAATATGTGTATTTACTCATTTCATAACTCGCTGACTGATGACAATGACTGAATATCTCTCTCTCTCTCTCTCTCTCTCTCTCTCTCTCTCTCTCTCTCTCTCTCTCTCTCTCTCTCTCTCTCTCTCTCTCTCTCTCTCTCTCTCTCTCTCTCATATCTCTATATATAATAAAATGTGTGCGTTTTTTTATGTAAATTTCAAAAAATTAATCAACATTCCCACATTTCTATTTTTGTTTCAGCTTAAAATTTAATATAAGTTTTTTAAGTACATAAAACCACACAGACATTAAGAAAATATATTTGAGTGCACTTTTCACGAACTTCTCTGTTATATGTATCAGTATTACTAAATGTTCCTTGCAAAGTGTTAGAGGTCACAAAGTGCTCACACACACACATTATTTTCCTTTCTCTTGTTTTTGTATTTGTAATATACTTTCTACACTTGGCTGAGTATTTGATCCAATTCTCAATGAAATTTGTTGTAAAGGAAATGATAGCGACTTAATTTCAAACTGCATGACACTTTTAGTCATTATTTCAAGCAATTTTATGCTGGTTATAATGTGTATATGTATTGTGTATACATGGAACCTTGTTGACACTATATTTAAAAACCCTTGTTCTTCCTAATGCATCATATCTTCTCTAATTGCAGTATAGTCATCGAACATCAACATATGGTGGAGTAAGTCACCCAAGTGTTATTGTATAGAGCTTAGTCTGTATGGCTAATATAACGCATTATAATATTCTCGCAATTTAATAGCAAAGAAACCTGATATACGTGTATTCTTATGCTAGATTTTGAATGTTTTTTTTAACGTTATTGTAGTGACTTTATTATTGTCATCTGTGTATGTCTTGTATGTGTATGTATACTATACACACGATGTATGCCTACGTCACATAGGCACATTTCACGGCTGATGAATTCACTGAACCGAAATACTTCATCAGTTTCATGTTTAACGAGGTATTCATCATTCAGTCATGTGCTCCACGCACTTGGCTGTTTAGTTAAACATTCCCACGTATAACTGATAACAAAATCTATACTGTATGTCATATTGTTACTAAAATGTTTTACCTGTATGTCATCAGTCCAATAATTGTTATCTTTATGTCTTTGTGTATGTGGATTTATATGTATATTATGAATAATAATGTATTATATTAATCCTACATGGCGTTTCAGCGTAGCGTGATATTGAATAATTTTAATACATGTTCAGTGTTGAATTTATGTGTATATTACATTTCATTTGTTTTATTTCGTTGTTTTGTTTCTTAGAATTGAATTTTACAATATTAAAAGTTTGTATGTTGGTGGAAGTGACAATAACAACGATATTAGTAACTCTTGAAATAGCTCCAATAACTCTAATTTTATTGTAATGAATAGTACTGATACTAACAGTTGGGAAATGTTAACTCACTAAGGCTTGGTTTGGTGCTGGGTTAATGTCAGTCAACCGCTGGAGGGTTATTACGGTCACCACAAGAGTTTACTGACCAACCAGCAAGTATACTTTAGTCCTGATTATATATATATATATATATATATATATATATATATATATATATATATATATATATATATATATATTTATATATTTTGGTAGTAGTCTTTCCTCTAAACATATGTTGTTGAATATGACCGAGAGGGTAAGATTAATAATTCTAACACGAATCTTCTCAATATTTCTTACGTTTTTCTTCGTAGTTTTTGAAGAAACTGATGTGGAATTAGTTTAAAAGGAAGTAATTGTCTACAACTTAGATTACGATTCATAGGAACTCACCACTGAAATTGGTGCTGTTGATGTGTTTATGGAGTTGGTAATGATTTTAGTGAATGGAGTTATGGTGATTATCTTTGTTAAAGACCTTTAACACTTTCCTAAATTGCTCTTCAATTCACCTCCAGATTGACTCCTTCAACTCTTTGCAATTCGTGTGCACAGTTGTGGGATCAGCGCGTATAGTTTACAGCCGTGTAGAAAAATCTTTGAGAGAATGTACTTAAACATTCCACGTCTCATATTCCACCGTGTTTTTGAGTGGTAAACATTTAAGAGGAGAAGTTGGCAACAATGGATCAAATACTTGGCACCGTTGCAACCTTTTGTTTTCTTCCATCACATCCGACATAAACATGTGTCCATCTAATATGGCGCTCTAAGATAACAACAAATATTCCATTCACACGTAAATAATGTAGTTAGATCATGAAGGTGATTATAGTTGAGGTGCTCAGTTATGAAAACGCGACCCTGTAAAACAATAGTGGACTGAAGTGGCCCTTCAAGAATATTATATATCATCAAACATATCATAGTCCAGAGGTATATAAACTTTGTCTTAAGACTACAGAAGGATTCTATTTTTTATAATTGAGTTACATGTGTTTAATTGTTATTTCAACCTAGGTCATATAAATGGTAGTACTTACAGCTGCTATGAAGGGAATGGGCAAAGTATAGATTGTACTGTACTCGGAAAGTTCACGTTTTGAACTATCGATTTTCGTAGAGGACTTGAGAAAGAAAACAACTGAAACTAACATTTAATATGTCTAGTATAGTACATATATGTACTGAATTAGGCCTTAGATTGCATATGATAGGTCTAGGATTACTTATTTACGCCTTGAACAGATTAGGTTAAGTTGATATTCGAGTGTTATAGTTTTTGTTCGGCCCTTAAAAATTCCAATAATACATAGCCTATTCAACCTAACTCTTGAAACCTAAGTAACCTAGCCTTAAAGTCTATCTAATCTAACCTGTCGTTTAAGTCTAATCTAGCTTGACTTGCGAGTCTTGTTTGTATGAGGAGAAAGTCAAAGAATTGGTGTTATGAAAACACTGGTTACCGTGTGAGAATGGTAGAGTGAGAGAGAGAGATAGAGGGAAGTGATTGTTGTTGAGTGAAAGTACTTAAGAGTGTGGGAGAGTAATCCAGGTAGGCAATCCCAGGTAAAGCTCGAGTAATCTGTTAAATTGCTTGGTCACCTGTGATCGTCACTTATCTTGCTTCTCTCCTCTCTCACCTTTCTTGTTTATATATACAGAACACACTACACACACACACACACACACACACACACACACACACACACACACACACACACACACACACACACACACACACACACACACACACACACACACACGTAAACTGGCAGTTCTCTTTTACTCTTATAGATTGCAGGATGTACGTATTACATGTTGACTTCATAACCGGATGAATGATGTGAAATACTTCAGTGTCACTTATTTCTTTGCTGTAGTGAGGGATTACTCTGGTGATTGTCTAGTTATAAATAAGATCTTTCTTGGAAATTCTGTTGTTTGTACATGGTCTGAAAGAGCTGCTATCGTCCTATCTGCATGCTGAGAGCGTTAGAACGGATATTCTCCTAATGAGAATATAAAGGAGACATTCGTCTGTTTCAATGCGTTCAGTTTGCTATCGGAAGAGTTCTTCATTGGGTTAGTTGGCCCTCTTGTAGTAAATGGTAAGCTAAACTTCTCGTCAGTGTTGGCAAGATTCACGTTTCTGTCGATAATGTTTTTGTCAGGACATTGTCACATCTTGTTCTACGTCGCAGTAGGGTTTATAGGTAGGGCAGATCAGTACTGTCAAGGCTAGTACGAGTTTAAATTAAACACCTCAAGAGTTAAATTTTCAAATTCTTTTCAAAGTGAAGAATCTTCAAAATGAGATCTGAAATGCATTTATTTAAGTATTTGTTACTGTTTTACGTGTAATTTTATATGGAAATTTCAACACGTGAATATAATTACTTGTGACAAATAATTACTTTGAAATTTTCAGTTGGCAGGTCTATAACCTAGCATGATATAGCTCTACGTTACAACTCAAGTAATGTAGAGTTGTAACTACATTATTCTCAAGCTTTATTCCGTTATAAATGCATAGTATGAGAGCAGGATATGTTAGATTTTTTTCAGTTGATTTTGGTTAGGCTTTGTTAGAGTATGTTTAACTTGGAAAGTTAGGTTTGCTAGGCTCTCCAGATCAACATCACCCATATAAATTTACACAACATCTGCGCACTAAAACAGGTCACTGAGCGAGATTCGTAGCTGTTCCTTAGGAGATGAAGCACTTCACCAATACTAATACAGTATTTATATATGTGCTTTATTATTATTATTATTATTATTTTCAACCACAGACGTGGCCACACATTTACAATGCTAACCAGAATATATACATTTTCTTCTGTCCTCCATGGACAGGGTGAAAGATTTGTCAAACATACAGTTCAGAGATTTATTGAACAACCACAGAAGGTGATCGAAGTGCTTTTAAAATGTTAGGCTAAGATACATACGTAAATACATAGATACACAGATTTATGACTGCATTAATGTGAATTTATAATGGTGAAATGCAATTCTGATCAGCTTTATACTTTATACACATACATACACACACACATACATACATACATATATACACATACATACACATATATTTGTCTCTTTTACTCTGACAGGGTGAGATAAATGTGCTTGTAATGTCAAACTTCCAGCTGCGCATTCTACACCAACAGGGCTAACTCTGTGAGCAGGAACTGGGGCATGATCTCCCACACTACATCACCGAATGCCCAGTTATCAGACCATTCAGACCCATTTGCATGAGGTACCTGGAGCTTTGCAATTACTTTATTCACTCTCGAGTTCTTGAAGATATCCTCATATTACACCCAAACTTTGCTAGTACAGGCTACTAAACATATGGCCCTGTATGATTAACCATCCTGCGAGATGGAGACTCAGTATCACTGCTGCCTTATTCACTCTTGTGTTGATGATATCCTCATAATGCACCCAGAGTCTGCCAGTGCAGACTACTGATCACATGCCTCTGTATGACTAACTATCCTGTGTGATGGGGATTTTTAGCATCACGTAGCTAACTTTTTGACACACTGTACTTCCCTTCATATAGTCTAGGGTAGCTGCACAAATACAGATATATCTAAATGTGTTAATAAAAAACCAGGGCTATATCAGCGAGGTACTACGCAGCAGCTGGAGCAGTACCCCCAGCAGCTCCTGCCAACTAAATGTTAAAAATACAACAGAGGCATTTGACTTGGTGTGTAATAGTGTAAACATGCAGGAGAGAGCCTCTCAGAGGCAGAAGGTCCGCCATTACACCCACGCCTTGCCTTGGACTGCGCAGGAAATAGGAATTCAACTTAGTCATTGTGCGAATGCCGCGGTGCATAAACCCACAGGTTGGCTTCTCTCTATATCATGACGGTACCCGAGAGGTTAATTATTGTATACCTGAATGATATATATTGTGGGCCTTATCCCTTGTCAGTCACAAGGGTTTGATAGTGAGGAATTGGACAGTAACATCAACACATCCTCCAAAATATTGGCTTTTGCCCAAAGTAGTCTGTTTTGGTACTATTGGAATGCGGAAGGTCATTAAAAAGCAGCAAAAATCTAATTAACTAAAACCTAACCTTTTGGGACCCTAAGATTCATAATCCTAGGCCTACTGTAGTATACATATTATATACTAAGCCTGGAAGAGGTTAGATTAGGTCGTTGACAGCTTTCTTAGCTCCTCTACAAAATCTATAGTGCAAAAAATGGATCGGTTTGTATGCAACATATTTCATTTTGTACCATT